TTGATCTCGGTTTGTGGGTTTCGGTTACTGGTCTTGGTTACTTTGACAATGGTCTTGTAGGGCCTGCCAGGGTCCTGTATAAACTATATGTGCCATATGGATCTCAGCGATCCTTGTTGCTTTTGTGGGGGTTTCCGAAACAGGAAGGAGGGTCTCCAACAGGCATTCTTATCCTTGCCTTCCCAACTCGGACTGAGGAGAAGCGTCTCTTCCTTTGGTACGACTTCTTCTCCTGCCCCCAGCATGGTGCGACACCGGACCTTTCCCAAACTCCACCAGGCATTTCGAATAGCCAGGGTTCAGGGTTTAGGGCTTATGCAGGATCCTGAAGAATCCCAGTCTTCGTCGCAGTGCCAGTTTCCCAAAGTTGATCGGGCCTTTCTGGCACCTAGCTCCTCGAAGCACCGCCACGTTGATAGGGGTTTGACATTGGCAGATTCCTGCTGCCAAGAATCCGCTACTTGTGTTTCCATTGCCTTTGCCAGGTTTCTCAGCCCAGATTCTCTATAGCACCCACTACACGGCAGCCCCTCCCTTCCCCTAAAGCCCTAAAGCCCTAAACCCCTAAACCCTAAACCCCCAAAGCCTAAGGGCCTAAACCCTAAACCCCGAAACCCTAAACCCCTAAAGCCTAAACCCCTAAACCCCTAAACCCTAAACCCCTAAACCCTGAACCCCTAAACCCTAAACCAGGTCTCCAGCTGGCTATCGACAGCATCCCCGTCTACGTGCAGCGCTGTGAGCTCTTCGTCATCCTCTCACCCTCGGTCAGGGCGGGTGAGGAGGAACTTCGGCAGTAAAAAGCAGGGGTTAGGGTTTAGGGTTCTTCTGGACTTGAAATCTGAAACCCTGCCTTAACCCGGAATAACCTACCTTTTTAAGGACCTATATAAGGAATTCATGATAAGGAACCCTAAAACGGTGGGTTCTTCAGGGGTCAGGTAAGCCCTAGAATCCTAGAAGCTAAAGCCTTTCGGTCTCCAGGCCGGAGAGGGCATTATACGCAGTAATGCGAGAAATGAGGCGACTAATGTAGAAGCCTAAACCCAGAGAGCCCAATACCCCTTAATTAAGGAATATACCTTAAATTATAGGAGGGCGCATAATATGATTTAAGGTATATTCCTTACTTAAATTAAGGGGTATTGGGCTGCCTGGGAATACTATCAATATCAATATTATTCCAAGGGTTCCTTATTTGTAGTTATTCTAAAAGGTACCTCCAAGCCCTACTCGAATAATTAAGGCCCCTACATTAGTCAAAAGTCAAAATAGTTCCGCCTGTCTGGACTAGTCAGTCTTTGCATAATACAGGGGCCTTAATTATTACCAATGGGTCGCAAATCCTATTCTGATTGATTATCAAGGCCTCTGTTTTTGCCACATGTCATTGACATGAAGCGGGTTTTGATCCTTACAGCTTTCCCACTCCCTTCCGCGAGGACCGGATCTTGAATTACAAGAGCTGGGGGCAAAGGGCATGGTGCCGCACAGAGAGTCTTGCCCGTGAACTGTGTCCGGCACACGACAACCTCATGATCCGGGTGGAGAGCTCCAGGCAGCGAGACCAAACAAAAAGGTCGCGTCATCATTCCTGCCCTTCCCGTCAGCCCTGCCCCCCCGCCACCCCGAAACGGGTCCCTGAACAAAAACAGCATCTCCGCAAACAGGTTTGGCAGCCTTGTAGCAGTAGACAGCTCCAAGGCACATAGCTCTCGTGGCCACGCTGGAGAAGAACTCGCCGGGCACTGGAGCCTTCAGCTTCGAGTGCGACCGTGAGAAGGTCGCCGGAATTGTTCGACGTCTCGTGAAGCAGAAGTTGCTCTACTGCCTGAGGAAGCTCTGTCATCGTTGGGTAACCTTTGAGCATTTTTTATGGGCTTAGGCCGCCCATAGGCCCAAGAAGGAATAGACATTATGATTTTTAATGCTATCCGAACCATGGACCAGGAAGGGGGACTTGGTCAGCTACCGTTTCCTTCTGAATGAACAGGTCCGGATCTTCCGACAGTTGCCCATTGAGCCCTTCGATGCTATCATCCCAGGCTTCGATGCGCTCAAAGCCGACGCCTCTAAAGACCCGGAGCTCGCCAGCTTCCTGTACCAGATGGGCTTCAGCCACATCGCGGAGCGTGATGCCGGAGGCTTTTCGCCCATGTGCTACGCGGCCGTGCGGGGGGATCCGCTGCTGCTCGAGTCGCTGCTGAGGCAGCGAGCAGACCCGAACGACAGGATCTGGAAGACGTGGCCGAAGTTGGGCATCAGCCGGAACACCTCCCTGTTGGCCGTCTGTGCCTTCAACGGCCACAACGAGTGCCTAAGACGTCTCATCGCCTGGCGGGCCGGTGTTGATGCCAAGGATGTGATCAAGTCACGTCCCCTGCATGCCGCCTGTGGAGCCAACAACGCAGAAGCTGTGCGGCTGCTCTGTGCCGAGGGGGCAGATCAAAGTCTGAAAACTGCGAAATCCACTCTGAGCCTCACCCCCTTTGCCACTGCCTGTACCATGGGCTGCGTGCAGACCATGAAGGTCCTGCTGGCGCAGGCGCCGCAGCCCCTAAAGCTGATGCTCTACCTCATGATGGCCACGCAGAATGCCAGCGTGGAGTCTGCTGCCACCTTGCTGCAGGCAAGGGCCGATATCAACGAGCGCTTCTCTCCGAAGACTGGCTCGGCCCCGTGGATGGTGAATGCGGCTATGCGGATGAAGCACCGCTGGCGGCCTACCACCTTCACCTCAGTAGCCGTGAATAGCTGGGGAGCCACGCCCCTGATGATCAGTATCGTGGCCGGGCTCTTCGATGTCGCAGCTTTCCTGATAGTGGCCAAGGCAGACTTGGAGATCCAGAACACCAGAGGGAAGACGGCGCTGATGCTGGCTGAAGAGATGCAGGCACCGGACTTCCTTAGAGCGGCCTTGTCAGATGCTGGCCGAGCTGCCGACGACCTGGCGCATGAAATTTCGGGTGGTCCCACGGGCAGCGCCACCCTCAGCATGCTGCCGTCTGGGTGCCTGGTGACGCTTGAGCTGTGAATCAGAGCAATGCTGGACAAAGACAGGCAAACAGCTGATTCAGTTCGATTGGATATCGTGCGCTTGCCACGGTTCTAAGACGTGTGTACAGAGATGGTTTCTAGCAATGCCGAACGGATCTGAGCGTGTCAAGCACCCAGTCAGCGCCATGACAGCACCCGAGTTCAGCCACAGGTACAGCAGCTTGCTGCCTGTGTTGAGTGGTATTGTCCTGGCGCCCTGTAGAGACAACTTTCCGAGCGGTCGTTCAATTGGCACATGCCGAACCGTGAGGCAGCAAGCCTTACGCTTAAAACCCGGGATCTCGTATTGGGATTCTGGTTTGCGATGGTTTTACTCCTGGATCCCTAGCAAAAAAATCGCCCCACTCCTTGCAATGTCATCGTGAGCTAGTGGATTAGTTACAAGTAGAGTTAAAAGTAGGATAACTATAAAGGGAACTCCTGAAAGTTGGAATATGGAATTATGGCAGGATCCCCAAAGGGACTATGATAATGATATTCCAACTTTCCGGCTTCTACTGTAGTTGTTCCAAGTAGTGGAGGTGTGCCGCTGGGGGAAGGGATGATTCCTTTTCCTGGGCCTTTCTCGAGTCAGGAGACCGAGCAGGCGCCAACAAATCAACCATGCATATAGGACTTGCTCACCATACATGCTACATTCTAAGACAAGCACAAACGTATATATATATATATATATATATATATATATATATACTTGTATATATATATATATATATATTAATATATTTATGTATAATATGAATATCAAAAATATGAGTTGTTGATATTTTTTATATTGCCTGCTACTGTATAGTGTGGTGTGTTGTCATTTCCGTTTAGTTGCCACATCGTTGGCATTGCTATTATTGCTGTTGTCATGGTTATACTTGTTAGCGTTATCACTATTACTGTTCAACCTGTTCTGAGTCTTATTAAGATTGTTACTCTTATAGGCATGGTTGCTACAGTTTTATGGTACTTATGGTTATTATCATGATTATTCGTGTCGTCATTGTTATTACCAGTTTTATTCGTATCATTATTTTAATTATTTTATTATTAGGGTCATTATTATTGTTATTATTACTAGCAAGATTCGGTTGCTTATTCCGATTCTGAATCCGATTCTGGCTATGAAACTGATTATGATTAGTTGGACATACATATGTACATATACATATGTATATATATATATATATACATACATATATGTATATGTATGTATATATACATACGCATACATACACGCATCAGATGATACCTGAGCATCGCTTTCTTGTTGCTGGCAGAAGGCTGAGCTAAACGCTCGCGTCTGTCACTTGCAGTGGGGCAAAGGCCCGCACCTGTGCCTTTCCATACCGTCCATACCAGTGAACAGGCCCATGTCCCAGACTCCCCATACCCCATACTAGAATGCTCAAATGTAATAAAAGCCTCAACCCTAAAAACCTGAAGCCCTGAACCATCCGAACCACGGTGCACCTACTGCGCGCGTGTGTGTGTGTGTGTGCGTGTGTCCGAGCAGACTCATGTTAGATAGGTCGGCTTTTGTTTGCCTTTAGCGTTCAGGGAGTGGGGTTTTGGGGTTGAGGGTTAAAGTCATGTAGGTATTGAATTTCGAGACTTAAAGTGTCTGAGGTCATCATTGGGACTGATCGGTTTCGGGCACATGGTCGTTTCAGCATCAAGGCGCAATAAATACGATACCTTCTACTAGCGAACTTCGGGCAAGTCTACCCTAAGCCGTGACTCACATCCTAGAAGGTCCAAAACAGCAAAGTTAGAGAAACTCTAAAACCCTGAATAATTAGAATAGGGTTTTGGGGGCCCATTATGTCACAGTTAGAATAAGAAACCCCAACATAGCATGGGGTTTTGGGGCCCAATATACTGTACCTACTATAAGAGCCCTCCCCCTCCCCCCCCACCTTCCTTCCCTCCCCCCTCAACAAGAAGTATAGCTGATGATGGTACTCCCGCTGATTGGCATTGCCTCTCAGGCCCAGAAGCTTGCCCACGTGATCTGGCAGGCCTGGTGCACCGAACCTCCTTCAGGATGTATAGTGTAGGGGCCTACATATAAATTACCTATACTATATTAGGGGTTCCTTGTTATAAATATAGTATAGTGGGCCCCAAAACCTTGTTCTAATTATGAAGGCCCGGGATTAAAAGGCGCAGGCTTCGGGATCTCGGATCTCTCAAGCATTGCTTGAGGACAGATTCGGTTCAGTCAGGGTTCTGTCCTGGATTTCCCGGCCTCCGCATTCATCCGTTTCTGGGCGAAACGTCCTTGTGCCGATTCGTGGTGTGCACATTGCTGGTGCCATGAGTGCCGACGCCTTTCTCGGGGGAAGATTTCCAGTGTGCTCTGGGAAGTGATTCCGTAAGTAACAAGTAATGCAGGGGCCTAAACTAAATATAATTACCAACACTATTTTGGGAGGTTCCTTAATTATTATATGCTTGTAGTATCATGCACCCCAAAACCCTCTTCTAGTTATTAAGGCCCCTAGATTAGCGCAGCCAGGATGTCATATCCTGGGTCAAAGATGGTTCAAGCGGAGAGGCCAAAAGAGCCCTAGGACGGGGTGTGGGCACAAACCATCTGAGCAAGGGGTGGTCTTCAGTCTCAGATTTGGCATTGGGGAGTTGGGACCGCATGAGGGCGCAGGGTTTACAGTTTGGCATGTTATGACTTGCTGAGTCAGAGTCAGCCTTGTCTCATACGTCGGGACAATGCACGGTCGCCTTGACATACATCTTTGCTGCATAGCTACATACACACGTGCATAGATAGGTAGGTAGGCATATGTGTATGTGTGTATGTTTATATATATATATATATATATATGTATATGTACATGTATATGTCTGAGTACATACATGCACACCATGCGTCCACCCACCCCCACACACACAACCAACACACACACACACAGACAGACACACACACAGACAGACACACACACACACACAGACACACACACACACACACAGACACACACAGACACACACACAGACACACACACACACAGACACACACACAGACACACACAGACACACATACAGACACACACATACACAGACACACACACACACACACACACACACAGACACACACACACACACAGACACACACACACACACACACACACAAGCACACATGGTCATATGCACCGAGGGGCAGATACGCTTAAGCTTTGGAAGCGCAGGATGTGAACACACGCGTCCCTATGTCTACAAATTCCTGCCCGCTTCTCTCCAGAATATGAGTATATAGTTCCTAACCCCATGTGCATCCGCATGGCGCGAGCAATGAATCAGCAGGACTGTTCCGAATCGACCATCAGTCGGCCGCAACCTTTGGCAGGGAGGCGGGGGTGTGCCAATATGTGGTCCATATTAGAAGACCACTTCTACAAACAGATAGATGACTGCTTGAAAAGGGCACCGATACCCCAAACCCTGGAGGTACTTCAGGCAGAACCCTTGTCTAAAGCGGTGTGGGTTCACCGGTCATGGATCCTGACTTTCGGGTTGAGGGGCTGTGGATAGGTGGTTGGGATGGACGGTCCTGTTGCAGTTCAGAAGCAGCTAGAGACGACTCCACATGTCATCGCAGTTGAACAGTTGAACCCAAGCAGCGTCCTTTGCTGCATGAGAGATGCCCCAATCAGGCACGTGATGTCCGTGCAGACGGTCAGCCGTGCGAGTGGTGCCACGGGCCTAGATGTCCCAAGTGCAACCTTTTATTGGGTTAAGGGTTTACGGCCGAAGCCCTGAACCTTAATCCTTCGAGCCCGAGAGTGCTAAAGCTTAAGATTTTTCCTAAGCCCTAATCCCAGCGTCCTTGCTTACATATATGCAGGACATGGAAAACTCTCTCTATATATATATATATATATATGTATATATATATGTATATATATATATATATATGTATATAGATATGTAGACACACATATACATATATATATATATATATGTTTATATACATACATATATACGGTATGTGTATAAATGCATATCATATAATACATACATATAGTAATAAAAATAATGAAACTAATAATAATGATAATAATAATAGTAATAAGAACAACAATAAAGAATAAGAATAAGAATAAGAATACGAATAAGAATAAGAATAAGAATAAGATTGTTAATAATACCAATAATAATACTACTAACAACAAATAACAATAACAATAACAATAACAATAACAATAACAATAATAACAATAATAATAATAATAATAATATTAATAATAATAATAACAATAATAATAACAATAATAATAATAGTAATAATAATATCAATAATACTATTACATATATACACATATACATGCATGCTCATGCACACAGGCACACGCCCTAAACAGTGCTATTGTCCATGCTGAGGTTTCATCCCGACTTCCGACCTCTTCCTCGTGATCGGTGATGATCTTGTGGGTGTGACGCTGGAAGGCCGGGAGTAGGGTTTAGGGGTTAGGGTTTAGGGTTTAGGGTTTAGGGCTTAGGGCTTAGGGCTTAGGGTTTAGGGTTTAGGGCTTAGGGCTTAGGGCTTAGGGTTTAGGGGTTTAGGGTTTAGGGTTTAGGGGTTTTGGATATTGGGGGTTGAGTCTCTCCGGAGTTTGGGGCATCAGATTAAAACTATAGGAGTCTCGGGCTACAGCTGTGGAGGGCATGCAGGGGTCACGGAGGCAAGAGCGTGCTGGGACATGGAGACTCGTCAGGGGCAGGTACAAGTTTGGGGTTCAAGGATGCCGCATCAGATCACGAACAAACCCTGCCCCATGCGGCAGCCTCAAGCGCTTGAACTTCAATTACTTGCTATTTCTTAACCATGTGCAGTACCAAAGGCCCCAAGCCTCCAACCCGTCAACGCATTTCAATCATGCAAGCTGCACTTCCAGGTCTTTTTGCTGACAATGCACCAGGGCAGAAGAGGCCAACCAGCTTAAAGGGTCATCATCACGTCATCGCGTGGATCATCGTGCGGGATTGGCCTTGACATGGTAGGCACGCTGAGAGCGAAGCTGGCAAGACTTTTGTAGAGATGAAGCCGTGTTGCGCTGTTCAGGCTCAGTCTGGCAGAGTGCTACAGGACCCGACTGACAGTTGAAAGGGATCTGCCCTAAGATCGGGGTTGTGTAGACGCATCCCCAACCCAGGCCTTGTGCCCTGAACCACTCCATCCGTTTGACCCCATGTGGGGTAGTCGGTCAAAGTCACAGGATGAAATCCAGAATCATTGCAGCCCCATGCCTAGAAGCACATACCCTAAGGCCCCAAAGTAGTTCCTTTTTGGGGTTCATATTTAGAATCCTATAAGGTAATCCCAAAAAGGAACTACTTTGGGGCCTATGGGTAGTAGCAGCAACGACGACAAGCATGGCAACACAATACTGCAGTCGCAGTGACCTTTTCTGTGTGCATTCATGCCACTCTAGAACACAAGGTCGAGTGTGTACGCGCACCCTGAAAGAAGCCTGTTCCAGTGCAACATCACACGGACGAGTGCCCCTGTGCTCGCTCGCGAAGATTGAGGATTGAGTTTAAGATGGAGGGTTTCGGGCTTACTTGTTGTTTCATGGGTCTAGGGGTAGGGTTAAAAGTAGGATAAGTAAACTATTAACCCTAAACCCTAAACCCTAAACCCTAAACCCTAACAGGGCTTAGCCTCACCTGTAACTAAGCCCTGAACCTCCAACTGGGGACTGCAGAGTTTAGCCACTTGGCTGCCGAGGTCATGCCGGCCTCTGGTGCCCCGACTTGCTTCCCCAGTAGTACCCCTTTACTCCCTTCAATTCTGGTAGTGCCTCCTTTCGAAATGCGAATCTGAGGAACAAGGCTACCGTTATCATTCACGGATTACTGGAGAACCTAGCCAAACTACACACCAAAAGCTTCAAGACATCGTCCCGCCAACCCTAAACGCAAACTCCGGACCTTCATTCCCAGACTCGGAGGCTTCAAAAAGTGGGATGAAGGTAGGTGGGATATTCCCAAATGAGAGTCCTTATATAAGGGATCCTTGATCCTAATTACCCACCTTCATCCCACCTCTTGAGGCCTCCGATAGACGGAGGAGTCCTAAAATGGGCAAGTATCCGATTCCGACACCTCAAGAAGGCCCCCCAAACCCCGACACCCAGAGCTTCCGATGAACACCCACAGCTAGGATCGTTACCACAATTCAGGGTTACGAGTTGAGGGTGTAGTTTAATTTATGATTCTACATTAAGCTATGGTGCCTGATTGTCAAGTATAATGTAGGAACCTGATTAAGAAACCTTGGGCCTTTGTTAGGGATCCTTATCTGAATCCTACGTACGATTTTGGGGTTATAGGCCCAGGGTTTCTTAATCAGGTACTTTACCTTACCCCCAACAATTTTCCAACGATGCAGGCCCCTGTCCTAAACCCTAAACCCTAAACCCCTAAACCCCCAAACCCCCAAACCCCTAAACCCCTAAACCCCTAAACCCCTAAACCCCCAAACCCCCAAACCCCTAAACCCCCAAACCCCCAAACCCCCAAACCCCTAAACCCCTAAACCCCTAAACCCCTAAACCCCCAAACCCCCAAACCCCTAAACCCCTAAACCCCTAAACCCCTAAACCCCTAAACCCCCAAACCCCTAAACCCCTAAACCCCCAAACCCCCAAACCCCTAAACCCCCAAACCCCCAAACCCCCAAACCCCTAAACCCCTAAACCCCTAAACCCCTAAGTACGTAGGACCTTTAGGTCCTATTTGGCGTAGGGCTTGCTCTGTGTCTTAATATATATTGTGTATATACGCAATTAAAAATTTAAAGAATTTAAAAAATTTAAAGGGGGTAAATCCTTTAAATTTTGAAATCGTCCGGAATTAAAAATTTAGAGAATTTAAAAAATTTAAAGGGGGTAAATCCTTTAAATTCTGAAATCGTCCGGAATTAAAAATTTAAAGAATTTAAAAAATTTAAAGGGGGTAAATCCTTTAAATTCTTTAAATTTTGAAATCGTCCGGAATTAAAAATTTATTTAAAGAATTTAAAGAATTTAAAGAATTTAAAAAATTTAAATCTCCAGCTCCAGCCCCAGCCCCCCAGCCTTCGACCCCAGCCCACGGGATTAAATTTTTTAAATTCTTTAAAAATTCTGAAATCGTCCGGAATTAAAAATTTAAAGAATTTAAAAAATTTAAAGGGGGTAAATCCTTTAAATTTTGAAATCGTCCGGAATTAAAAATTTAAAGAATTTAAAAAATTTAAAGGGGGTAAATCCTTTAAATTCTGAAATCGTCCGGAATTAAAAATTTAAAGAATTTAAAAAATTTAAAGGGGGTAAATCCTTTAAATTCTTTAAATTTTGAAATCGTCCGGAATTAAAAATTTAAAGAATTTAAAGAATTTAAAGAATTTAAAAAATTTAAATCTCCAGCTCCAGCCCCAGCCCCCCAGCCTTCGACCCCAGCCCACGGGATTAAATTTTTTAAATTCTTTAAATTCTTTAAATTCTGAAATCGTCCGGAATTAAAAATTTAAAGAATTTAAAAAATTTAAAGGGGGTAAATCCTTTAAATTCTGAAATCGTCCGGAATTAAAAATTTAAAGAATTTTAAAAATTAAAGGGAGTAAATCCTTTAAATTCTTTAAATTTTGAAATCGTCCGGAATTAAAAATTTAAAGAATTTAAAGAATTTTAAAAATTTAAATGTCCAGCTCCAGCTCCAGCCCCAGCCCCCCAGCCTCCGATCCCAGCCCACGGAATTAAATTTTTTTAAATTCTTTAAATTTTGAAATCGTCCGGAATTAAAAATTTAAAGAATTTAAAAAATTTAAAGGGAGTAAATCCTTTAAATTCTTTAAATTTTGAAATCGTCCGGAATTAAAAATTTAAAGAATTTAAAGAATTTAAAGAATTTTAAAAATTTAAATGTCCAGCTCCAGCTCCAGCCCCAGCCCCCCAGCCTCCGACCCCAGCCCACGGAATTAAATTTTTTAAATTCTTTAAATTCTTTAAATTTTGAAATCGTCCGGAATTAAAAATTTAAAGAATTTGAAAAATTTAAAGGGAGTAAATCCTTTAAATTCTGAAATCGTCCGGAATTAAAAATTTAATGAATTTAAAAAATTTAAAGGGGGTAAATCTTTTAAATTCTGAAATCGTCCGGAATTAAAAATTTAAAGAATTTAAAAAATTTAAAGGGTGTAAATCCTTTAAATTCTTTAAATTTTGAAATCGTCCGGAATTAAAAATTTAAAGAATTTAAAGAATTTAAAGAATTTTAAAAATTTAAATCTTCAGCTCCAGCCCCAGCCCCAGCCCCCCAGCCTCCGACCCCAGCCCCAGCCCCCAGCCTCCGACCCCAGCCCCAGCCCCCAGCCCCGAGCCCCCCAGCCCCACCCAGTCCTAGCCCCATCCCCCAGCCCCCCCGCCCCCACCCCGCCAGGGCCTGCGCCTGCCCCCAGCCTCCAGCCCAGCTGCCTTTTCGCCCACCCCCCCAGCCTCAGCCCCAGCCCCTAGGCAGCCTCACCCAGCCCCCAGCGAGGGGCGTTTATGGGGCAAAACCAAGCTTTGCAGCCCTGCCCAACCCCAGCCCAAGCCCGAGGGAGGGCCCCAGCCCCCGGCGACACCCCTTGCGATTTGATTTTGGAACCTATTGGTTGAAAAAACCTTTAGGCTAGTAATGGAGTTCTTACAAAACCTTAGTTAGGGGGACACCCCTTGCGATTCGTGTTTTTGAAACATATTTATTACACAAACCCTTAGGGTGACACCCCTTGCGATCCATGGTTTTCGGATCTGAGTTACAGGTGTTTTGCTGGACCACAGGTCACTTCCGCCAGATTTTGCCAGCAGATGTGTGAAATCCCTAGCCTTGTTTTCATGGCGTTATTTACAGGTGTTTTGCGGACCACAGGTCACTTCCGCCAGATTTTGCCAGCAGATGTGTGAAATCCCTAGCCCTTGTTTTCATGCGGTACTTACAGGTGTTTTGCTGGACCACAGGTCACTTCCGCCAGATTTTGCCAGCAGATGTGTGAAATCCCTAGTCCTTGTTTTCATGCGGTATTTACAGGTGTTTTGCTGGACCACAGGTCACTTCCGCCAGATTTTGCCAGCAGATGTGTGAAATCCCTAGCCCTTGTTTTCATGCGGTATTTACAGGTGTTTTGCTGGACCACAGGTCACTTCCGCCAGATTTTGCCGGCAGATGTGTGAAATCCCTGGCCCTTGTTTTAACTCGGTATTTACAGGACCACAGGTCACTTCCGCCAGATTTTGCCAGCAGATGTGTGAAATCCCTAGCCCTTGTTTTCACGCGGTACTTACAGGTGTTTTGCTGGACCACAGGTCACTTCCGCCAGATTTTGCCAGCAGATGTGTGAAATCCCTAGTCCCTTGTTTTCATGCGGTACTTACAGGTGTTTTGCTGGGACCACAGGTCACTTCCGCCAGGTTGCCAGAAGATGTGTGAAAATTCCTAGCCCTTGTTTATCGCCGCGAACTTATGCTTTCTGCTCGTCGGGCAGGGAAGGCTGGGCGTTGCGGATGAGCAGGGCAGCCGTGCCCACCCACCCCGTCCCATCCCACCCACCACACCTCACTCCACCCCTCCTCTTTTATCATCCACCTTACATCATCTTCACTATCTTCCTCCTCCTCATCCTCCCATACCCCTCCCTCCCTCTCCCTATCCCTCCCACTACCCCCTCCCCTCACCTTCCTCACTCTCCCCCACCTCCACTCCCTCTACCTCTCCTCTTCCCCCTTCTCTCTCCTGGAATCTCCACCCTCCCCCACCCTCCCTTCTCTCCTTCTTAAATATCCCCCTAAGGTTTTGTGAAAACTCAGAGCCCAAAACCACAGATCTTAAGGGGTGTCCCCCTAAAGGTTTTCATGACAAGTAAGTGCAAAAAGCACAAATCGCAAGGGGTGTCCCCCTTAAGGTTTTGTGAAGATTCAAATCCCAAAACCACAGATCTTAAGGGGTGTCCCCTAAAGGTTTTCATGACAAGTAAGTTCAAAAATCACAAATCGCAAGGGGTGTCGCACTAATATTTTGTAAGAACTCAGATCCAAAAATCACAGATCGCACGGGGTGTGCCCCTCG